TTCCCAAACTTAAAAAAAAAAAGCAAAAAAGATGGTAACAAATACATTGATCATACACATCTTCTGGTAACTTTCTAGCTGCTCCAAGGCTTGTTAGATCAGACACCTGAAAGGCAAATTGGCCCCCTTTCGTGAATTGATTTGAGACCCGTTGATTTTGGCAGGGCAAGGGGATGAAGAAAGGATGGATTTTGTTTGCTTGTGAAAAGGCAAGCCTGAGGACCAGATGTGCCTTGCCCAAAGATTCCAGGGGGCATAGCAGCACCTCAGAGCTCTTGGCACCAGGCACAGCTACAAACTCATTCCACGTGGGCAGGTGCTGACAGCACAGCACAGCCATTCCATCAGAAGGCCATCCCAGCATCTGCAGCAGAAGGCACAATTAGGCCCAATGAGGGCAGACTCCCATGTGGGGAAGTTTGTTTCTTGCTAACATCAGAACCTTCCTCACCTACTCCAACCTATTCTTGGTACTCGCCCCTTGCCATAAGGAAGCCATGCCCAGAAGCCCAAAAGAAGACCGATACATTCAACTACACAAAAATGGGAGCTTGATGCTCCCATTACAAGGCAAGGAATGGTCTAGAGGAGAAATACCTGGAAGAACTAACAAAGGATTAACTATCATAATTTACAAAGATTTCGTTTAGGGCAGCAGTCCTCGAAGTCTGTGTTGTCCTTGAGCCACTGGCACCAGCATCAGCTGGGAGCCCATTAGAAAGGCAGAGTCTTAGCCCCGCCTCTCATTCACTGAATCACAAACTCTGGGGATGGGGCTTGCCACTCTGTGTTTTGGTTTTTCTGAGATTTGGGGGGAGTATTTTTGTAACAGGATCTTGTGCTCTATCACCCAGGCTGGAGTGCAGTGGCAGGATCACAGATCACTGCAGCCTTGAACACCCGGATTCAAGCGATTCTCCCACTGAAGCCTTTCGAGATGTTGGGACTACAAGTGCACACAACACCTGGCTATTTTATTTTATTTTATTTTGTAGTGCCAGGGTCTCCCTACATTGCTCAGGCTGGTCTCGAACTTCTCAGTTCAAGCTATCCTCCTGCCTCAGCCTTCCAAACTGCTGGAATTCCAGGCATGAGCCACCATGGCCAGATGTACTCTGTGTTTTAACAAGCTCTGCAGGTGGTTCTGATGTATGATGAAGTTTGAGAACCAGTATATGGCCATCTAAACATTTACAGCAGCATTATTCATAATTGTCACAATAAAAAACAAGAAAACAACCCAAACATCCAACAACTGTTGAATGGATAAACAAACCACGGTGCATCCATACAGGATGGAATCCTACCCAGCAATACAGAGGAATGAGTTAGTGACATGTGTAACAACATGAAGCCCCCAAATCATGATGCCAAGGGAAAGACACCAGGCAAAATAATGAGAACATACCATGTGATTTCAGTAATATAAAGAGCTAGAAAATGCAAACTCTTCTAAAGTCACAGACCACCCACTAATGGCCGCCTGGGGAGAGGGGTATATAGGGAGGGGAGAGACATTACAGAAAAGCATGAGTCAACTTTGGAGAGTGATGGAAACATTCCTTATTTTGATTGCGGTGCTGGTTTCACAAGTAAGGGTGTGTAAGTGTGTGAAAAAAACGGGCCAGGCACGGTGGCTCACACCTGTAATCCTAGCACATTGGAAGGCCAAGAGGCAGAAGGATTACTTGAGCTCAGGAGTTTGAGACCAGCCTGGGTAACATAGGGAGCCCCCATCTCTACAAAAAATAAAAAATTATCCACGTGTGGTGGTGTGCACCTGTAGTCCCAACTACTCAGGAGGCCGAGGTGTGAATTTTCCTTGAGCCCAGAAGATTGAGACCAGCCTGGGCAACATAGTAAGACCTTGTCTCAAAACATATATATGTAAATAAACAAAGAAATAGAAAAAACAGATTAAAACTGTACACTTCATATATGTCCAGCTTACTGTACTTCAATATACCTCAGTAAAGATACAAAAATAAGGAAAGCAGATGGTGTGAAGCAAATAGGAGTCCATTCGGACAAAGATCCAAGACTACATATTAATATGTGTACAGCTGAAAGTGTTAGAAAAACATCTACACTGTTGCACTCCAGACTGAATGCTGGCGATTCTGCCAGAGGGGAAGGAAGGGAGAACTCTCCACTGCTTGGGTTCTTTGAAATTCACATAGAATCAGTGTCACCTGGGGAGGGATTCGCTTGGGGCAGGCAAATAGACCTCAAAGAAACCCGCACAGGAGTTTGTTAAGAGGACAGATCAGGGCTTGTTGGAGGGTGGAACACAGAGGCAGGCAGGCTTCAGGAGAAGGGAGGAAAAGGCCCAGCTAGGTCAGAGGACAGAAGGAGGGTCAGCCCTTGTTGGGGGGAGTTAGGTAAAGAAGGAAGACAAATGTGGGCACTTGTTCTCCAGGGAATAGACACAGATGAACGTGTCCACCAGATCAAAGCCAAGGGGCACTCCCGGTTTCTCCATCTACACAGTCATTTCATTGTTCATTTGTAAATGAATACTTCTGAAGGGTTTGAAAGTCACTTTTTTCTTCTAAAGTCTTGTTGGTCTTTTTTGTTTTAGAAAAAAAATCCCTATTTCCATAGAATGTATGACAACTAAAAGATGCTTGTGTTACTTTCAAAGCCCCATGGGATTTTTTTTCCTTCAACTTCGTTATGTCTTCATGGAGGATTTAAGTACCTCATTTACAGCTACCACCAGGTGCAAAGCTTCTGAAGCAGGGTTTCTTAATTTCTGCAGTGCTGACCTTTTGGGGCTGGATTACTCTGCTGGGAGAAGAGGGGACCTTCCCCTGCACGGCAGGAGGCCATCCCTGGCCTCCATGCCAAGAGCACACCTTCCTCACTTTTTTTTAGACGGAGTTTCACTCTTGTTGCCCAGGCTGGAGTGCAACGGCGTGATCTCAGCTCACTGCAACCCCCACTTCCCAGGTTCAAGTAATTCTCCTGCTTCAGCCTCCCGAGTAGCTGGGATTACAGGCGTGTGCCACCACACCCAGCTAATTTTTGTATTTTTAGTAAAGACGGGGTTTCACCATGTTGGTCAGGCTGGTCTTGAACTTCTGACCTCATGATCTGCCCACCTCACCCTCACAAAGTGTTGGGATTACAGGCGTGAGCCACGGAGCCTGGCCTCCTCACTTATAACAACCAAAACTGCTCCCTGGTAGCAAAACTGTAACCACCTGATGGGTTCTTCCTGTGGCTACATAAAAACCATGGCATTTTAGTAGAGTAAAAGTTAACAGACACAAGGCCTGCCACGCTACTTGGGAGATGGAATAACTAAGGGAAAGGCAATAATTAAGGGAAATAAATAATTAAGAGAAAGGCAAGATGGGGGGGTGAGTTAGCTCATATCTCTTTCACTGTCATCATTCTCTCACTGATACAATTTTTACAAAGGTGGTTTCAATCCCCACTTTGGCTTTCAGATACCTTATTCTTAAGGTGCTGGCTATAGAGACAGAAAAAGGGTGATGACCATTCTGGATTCTTCCTGCTGACAGGAGGCATAGTTGCAGGGGTTGGTCCTAGGGGAATAGGAGTGAACCCACTGCTTTGCAGCTACCTGCATGTACTCATGGGTGTATGACAAAGATGTTAATGTTCTCACTCATAGTTTTAGTACAGCACTTATATCAACAGTTGACTATAGCTTGTTAGAAAGAGAGACTGCAATAAACAGGAAATAGTACATTTAAATATACTGTTTCATATCTTTTTAGCCAGTGTCCAAGTCCTAAGACTAGATCAGTTAAACAGCTGTTTCCCAGATCAGGAGGTGGCACTGCAGATGGGCTAAGCCTCTGTAAGAGGCATTTCCATAGACACAGAAGAAAAACAAAGATTAACACTGGGCACAATTTATCCAGACATTAAACTCAAAACAACTTTAGTTACAGAGGAGAAGGTGGTGGCAATCTAACATGCTGTTCTCTCGTAATAAGCTTCAGCTTGCAGGGCCTCAGGAAAGAGGAAGCAGCAATGTCATTGAGGCCAAGTTAGAAAGAAAGAAAAATCTGAAAGCATTACAGCTAGTGCTCGACTTACGACTACGGTCGGGACCGCAGACCAGTCGTAACCCGATTTGGTTGTAAGTTGAGTAGGCTATATGTACAGTTGAAAAGGTGCACGCGGAGATGGTAGTGCTGCCGGAAGCTGGTCCGCACTGTCATATGCCCAGCTGGGCAACGTTTGCGCTGCCAGACGCGGAGCAGTCGTGGCTAGAGATTGTGGTCATAAACTCGAATGGTCGTAAGTTGCATAGGTGGTAAGTCAATCGATACCTGTAGTTTGGGGACTTGTAGGCCAGAAAGAATTCAGGAGTCAGTCCTAATGACAGAAAATAATAAAAATTCAAAAACAGTGAACAAGACTATATTCTAACAACAGGTGTTCTATCATTTTTTTCTGAAACATAATTTCTCTCTCCAGTCTCTATTTTTACTAAAGACAAATCACAGTAGGACTAATTTATCTGCAAAATAAGTTTTATTCTTACTATACTTGGCCTGAGTGTTTGCATAAAGTCAGCAAGAACAATTATTTGCCATATAGGCTCCTTTTAAAAGTTGGCTTTGCTGGAACTTTATTCCATAAGAAATCTCAGATTAGACTTCAAAGCCGTTAGCTCAGCCACGGATTTATCTGTGCCTGCAAATACTTGCATTAATTGGGTGAATTCATCACCTCAAGGGCCCAAGATAACTTGGGGCTCCTGAAACTGTCAGAAAGTGACATTCTTTACTTAGGAACCTGTCCAGGGACTGTGTAGACAAGGTATGAGGCCACCTTACCCAAGCGGCTTTTATTGGCTCTATAAGTCAACTTTGATTCCTTAAAGCAATCTGAAAGTATGCCATTCCAATCAAAGCTTTGGTAAAATAACCAGTGTCTCCAATTGTGTCCTGCTACAAAAGAAAACAGATTTTTATTTAACTTATACAAATAACTATACTGCTATAAATTAAGTATACATGCCAACAGTTTTCAAATCCTAGAGAAATCAGGTAAAGAGAGAGATATGCTTCAGATTTTGTTAAGAAGAGCATACTTTATTCCAACTGTTAAAAGCTGTAAATAGCTCAAAAGAAAGAAAGGTTTTCTGGACTCTGAAAAACAAAAGAATTAGCAGTGTTTCAGACAAAAAGCCATAAAAAGATTGTTTTGGTCTTCCATTAATTAAGTCTATGTAATTAACTCCTGTTCTGCTCAATATCCATGAACACATTAGCTCTTAAAGGGAGCCTTGGAAGCTTTTCCCTCTATTTTAATGTCACAATCTCCAAAGTTATCAGAAAACTATCAGTCCTATAGCTGATTATAAAACCACCTTGAAAATAACCAAAGTAAAACAATTGTGGATGACAAAAGTTTCAGAACAGCCACAGTTAAGGTCTGGTCATCTCTGTGGCATACAACAATTTAACATAACAATCATAATTATTACCGATAACATATACTAAGACATATCAGAATTACAGGAAATCTTAAACAATTCTAGAACACACACCAATAGCACATTCATACAAATACAGTCCAAAGAAAGCCAAATACTACTGCATACTTCAGAATGCTTTTAATACATGAAATAAGCCAAATATGTCTCTTTTGGACTTTAGAGTATTTAAATATCTGGAAGGTTAACCAGATTTTTTAAAAAGGGCTTAATTTAGATTTTGACTTTGGAAAGTTCTATCAAATATCAAAGGTTTAAACACTTGATATTACAAAATAAAATCCCAGGTCACTAGAAGTCATTTATGTAGCCATAATGATAACTCAAGAATTTTTCAAAGGCAAAAATCTTCACTCACTGATAGAGGGGAAACTCAACTTTACAAACAGGACAAAATAAAGACACTATGAGGCCAACTGAATCTGTCTCCTCTCTCCTCGTTTTTCTGTCATTTATTCAAAAAAGTCAAACAAAAAAAATATTCAAACTACAGAAAAACTAAATAATCCCCTTCAAATCTTAGCCAACTTGTTCATACCCACAGAACTTCCTTTACAAGATTAACCCTTTACAAACCTTTTTCAACTCGCTTAAACTTTTAGTTTTGTCCCATCACTCTTTTAAGATGATTCTTAAAATCCTCTGAACTAGACAAAATTACATTCCCTTTTAAAAAAAACCATATTCCCATGCCTTCTTATAGCCACCCACAAAACACATTCTACTTTCCGGCCAGGCGAGGTGGGTCACGCCAATAATCGGAGCACTTTGGGAGGCCGAGGCAGGTGGATCACCTGAGGGAGGGAGTTCCAGACCAGCCTGTCCAACATGGAGAAACCACATCTCTACTAAAAATATAAAACTAGCTGGGCGTGGTGGTACATGTCAATAATCCCAGTTACAAGGGAGGCTGAGGCGAGAGAATCACTTGAACCCAGGAGGCAGAGGCTGGAGTGAGTCAAGATCTCACCATTGCACTCCAGCCTGGGCAAGAAGAGTGAAATTCCATCTCAAAAAAAAAAAAAAAAAAAAAAAAAAAAACCCCACATTCTATTTTCCTTCTATATCTTGCATGTAAAACTGCTTATCAAATAAAAATAAAAAACAAACAAACAAAAAGCCGTTTCTCCAGTAGTCTTAACTATACGTGTTACAATCGTAACTTTTAGCAACTTTTGTTTCTTGTGAAAAACCTGGTAAGTAAGCAATTTTAACCATGTATGAAACTGCAGAACCCATGACTCTTCCCAGCCTGGTCAGAGGAGAGGACCTGGCTAACCCCATGTGTCCTCAGGCCTTACCTAGAATCTAATGGCTGTAAAACAGACAAGTCAAACAATTATTAAAAGTCATAGAAGCAGTTTATGACCTTAAAACATCTAGCAAAGAGTATCTGACCTGCCTGATATAGACAAAATGTGTGAACTCTGAAGACACTTTTATTTTACTTTACAAATAATCTTTAAACTGTCTTTATTTTTGAAAGATCAGAGTCATGTGATCTAAATGGCATTAAAAAAGAAACCCACATTCTACTTTCCTTCTATATCTTGCATGTAAAACTGTTTCTCAAATAAAAATAAAAAACAAACAAAAAACTGTTTCTCCAGTAGTCTCAACTATACGTGTTACAATCTTCCATGTTTCTGACAATGTTTAAGTGCTTATTTTTCTTTAAGCCAATTACTATTATTATTTTTCTTTTTTTTTTTTTGAGACAGATTCTCCACCTGTTGCCCAGGCTGGGTTGCCTTTGAACCTCCACTCCCGGGTTCAAGCGATTCTCCTGCCTCAGCCTCCTGAGTAGCTGCGATTACAGGTGCATGCCACCACGCCTGGCTAATTTTTGTATTTTTAGTAGAGACAGGGTTTCACCATGTTGGTCAGGCTGGTCTCGAACTCCTCACCTCATGATCCACCTGCCTCAACCTCCCAAAGTGCTGGGATTACAGGCATGAGCCACCGCGCCTGTCCTAAGCCAATTATTTAGAGCTGTTTTATATAAACATTACATAACAAAGATAAATACACAAAAAGAAATGAATCAAGACAGAATTCCATTGATAGAAGTGTTTAAAGGGAGAACAGGGGCTTTAAAACAGTCTCTGTACACATACAGCCCAAATATCAGCTTTAATTAAGTCAATTTCTAACTACAGAGCTCTCAAAAGAAAAATCATTTTGAAATCTCTTTTTACCAGATTTCAGCCAGGACATTTCTGACTTTTGAAGCTTTTACTTAAAGAGAACTTCCTATGTGAAATCAATAAGCCTTACCTAAGGGGATGGGTTAAGCATGAACGCAAGAGGTATCTCCAAAGAGCTGGTAAGCAATTTTTAAAAGATCTAGAGTCTCCCTAAAGGTAGTTCAGAGAAAAGAAAATTCAAGACAAGTAATCAGAAGCTGTCTATGGAGGGGAAAAGAATCAATAAATGGCAAAAGTCCCAGAAGTATCAAACCACAAAGGACTTGCTCCCAAAGCCCAGAAATGAACCCAGGCCACCACTGTGGGAGGGCAAAGCTTTAGCAACTGACCTGCTGCACAAGGTCATTGCTATTGCATTTCCCAGAAGTCTAGAGCATTTTCAAGCTTTCAAAGGATTTTAACTGCTCAAGAGAATTTGCAAAGACTAGCTATGTCACTATTATGCATCCTTCTTTTAATTTAACCTTTCTCTTTTCATGGTATACCCAGTTTCAATAGCAACTCAATCCAAAAAGTCTGTTTAAGTCCTTTTGATAATTTTCCAGATTTTTACCATATAAGCAAAATGTATTTTTGGAAAGGAGGTAGAGGAGGCATCTCCATGATCCCTAAAAATTCACTCCCAGCCTCATAGGCATGGGATTTTTTAAGACAAAACTCACCCAAGGGCTTGACACATTGAGGATGAAGAAAGCACTGAGTCTTCTCCAACTCCCAGTTCTCGTGGACTGGCTGCCTGAAATGAACTCAAAAATTCTTGCCCTTCAGATGGTGGAGACCAAGAGAGAGTACCCCCACATGGTCACAAAATCATGCTCTTAAGGACATAAAACAAGAGGAAACCTTCAGCAGCTGGTATTCCAGGAACCTATGGCAAAGTTCGTAACTGACCAGCCTATAGGGCCAATGTGAGCAGCAGGCTTATAGGGGTCCTTAGCCCACGTTCTACCCTGTGGTGCCCCTCTTTATGACAGAGCGGCACAGAAAGACAAATTCATAGAACAATATAAACCAGATTTGCTACAGCCTCAGACTAGCCTCACATATACTTTTCTCATTAATAAACAGTGAGTTTTACCATTCACTCAACAGGCCTGCAGAGGCCAGAAGCCTGATTGGTAAGAAATTCTTACCCTTTTGCCAGCATACCACATTTCTGGCTCCCTGTCCCTGAGCGGCCCTCACGACTCTGTTCACTGCACCACAGTCACAAAGGAAAATCACCTTTTTCCATTTCACGGAACCACCGGCAAAAGCCTCTGAATTTTGCAAGATGCCGCACAATGGGGTGCATGGGGGAACCTAATTCACATTTTCCATCCCAGTCGAAGCAAAATACACATCACAAAACACACTAGTCACCTAGATCCACACCCAATATTGAGCTGCCCCTGTTGGTCCCTGTCATCACTGATCCATTCAAGGTGGGGACAGATGACCTCCAACTGAGAGTTCAAGGCATGGTGTCTGAGCAAGATGAAGAGGGGCCCATCACCCCTCTTCGGGCCCGTTGAGCCTCAGCTAACAATTCCATCAGGGCTCAATGAATGTGACCGGACAAATAAGGAAAGTTCTGAATGAGGCCTGCTGGATTTCTGTCGGCTGTTCTTCAGAGACCCCTCCACATGCACAAACACACAGAACAGAAGCAGGATGGACAGAGGCCTTCCACACCTACTAAGCATCCGTGATGCAGCCAGTCCCTGTGACAGGGCTACATGTCCACCTGACAGGTTCTAGACTATCTTCCCACTGCAATTAGACCTGTGCACCAAGGGTCGACAGAGCCTCACCAGCAGAGACAGCACCAAATACAGCCTTCAGCTAAACAAGCGACTGCCAAAGCTGACCTCCAGGTCCATCACACTGGTGAGGACTGAGGAACCACGGGCAGGGGATCCCAGATGAGCACCCAATTTTGTAATAGGGTTTCTCCTTCCTGCTTCATAAAGAAAGACCATGGCACTGTAGTAGAGAAAGAGTTTAATAGCCACAAGGCCTTCCATGCTACCTGGGAGATGGAGTCCGTATTCAAATCAAGTCATCCAAGTTCGCAGGTTAGGGGTAAAGGCAGTTTGGAAGAAAGGGTGGGGGTAGCTAGGCTTGCTGCTGATTGGTTGGGGCAGAGATGATGTTAAAGTCATATGGTGTTAAAGCTGTCCTCCATGGGCTGAATGGCTTCTGGGTGGGGCCACAGGAGGGGGTCCAGGTGGAACCATGGGTGTCAGACATGGAAAAAACCTGAAAAGATATCTGAAAAGGCCAATCTTAGGTTCTACAACAGTGATGTTATCTGCAGGAGTAAGTGGGAATTTGCATATTTGACAATCTGGCAATGGTTTATATCTTTGCCTTAGCAGGAATCAGGCTCCTCTCTTCCCCCATCCTGATGGCCACCCATTAGCATTACAGTTTGGGGCAAGTTTTGAGTTTGGAGCAAGGCCTATTATCATTTAAACTGTAGCCTAAAAGTCCTCCAAAGTTCACTTGGCCCAATAGCCCAGGAATAATTAAGGGAAAGGTAAGATGGGGGATGGGTTAGCTTAACTTACTGTTATAATTTTCTCACTGACATAATTTTTGCAAAGACAGTTTCAAAACTGCCTTGGGTTGAGGACCACAGAGCAGAGGTATATCCTGGGGAAACATCCAACTTCCCTCCAAGGCTGAGGTTCACAGGCAGGTGCTTTCAAGATGAAAGACAGGGGAAGCACAGGGGATGTATGCCCTGGGGTCCTGTGCTCAGCTCTCCAGGGACTTATGCCACCTTTCTACAGGTAGCTCTTTTCCCACCTCCTTTATGCACTATTTCCCACTGTTAATACGCAAATAATGAGCTCCTCCTGTATGCCAAAGTCCCAGCTAATTACTTCCCATAAGGTTTCACATTTAGAGCCTGCAACAAGTCCACAGTTATCCTGATTTTACAGATGACGAAACTGAGGCACAATGCCTGTTATACTATTATACTTGCCTTCTTTCCCCTTTCCCCACCTTCCTCTTCTGGGGAGCAGGGGGCGGAAGGTGAAGTCACTAATCAGGTCTCACCATCCGGGAAGTTAGGCCAAGCACAGCGATACTCGTTCTTGGAAAAACAACTCTAAAATATCCACAAAACAGGAATCTATAGAGACCTAGGAAGGAGATTCGTGGTGGCCCGTGTCCAGGAGGTGGGAGCAGAAATGGGTGACTACTGAGCAGGAGCAATCTCATTGGGAATTGAAAATCTTCTAAAACTGGACCATGGTGATGTCTACACAACCCAGCATATTTCCTAAAAATCACTGAATGCCACACCTCAAAGAGGTGACTTTTATGGCATGTCATTTATAGGTCAATAACAATGTTTAAGAAAACTGACTTAAGTCAGACTCAAGAGTTCTAAGTTAAAGGACATATCGCTACAAGCTGACATCTTGGCAAGTGAAGGGCAAACATTTATGGCAAAGCCAAATGGAACAAAGTAACACAGAGCTTGCAAAAGGAATGACTGCCTAACCTGAATACACAATGTATCCTAGTCAACTCCAGGAGATACAGAAAGCCACACACCAGCAACTGCCCAACCCAGTGGTGTGGACAGAAGAATTTCCACTCCAATGAACATCTGGGCCACCAGAAACCCATACAGAAAAATA